CGTTTTTCCCCCTTTAACCCCTTAAACCTAACGTACGACGACTAGTAGCATACTACTACTAGTAGTACAACACGACGTCGCATAACTAAAGTAGTACTTCTCTCTCTCTCTCTCTCTCTCTCTCTCTCTCTCTCTCTATAACATAGACACACACAGGGGAGTAACTTTCATACGCCTAATGGCTGATACAATAGTATACTCCCAGTGGCCCAAAATTCAATATGGGTACTGATTTAATAAGGCTAATCTAATGGTCACAACAGAGTTTTGTATTTAAATTTTAATCTTTTTGTATACGGATCCAGATCACTTGAAATTTGAAGTGTCCACTCTTTTCATTAAGATGCACCTAATAAAATATAAAATAATAATTCATAAAAAAACAAATTCAACATAATACCCTTGAATGTTTCATGATTATTTTAGTCAATTTATTTTTTGCAAAATAATATTTTTGTTATGAATGCCTAATTTTCAAGAGTAGATGCTCCAAATTTCAAGATTTGTATAGGTAGAGAAAAATTAAAATTCAATGACAAAATACAATTGTGGCCGCCCTATTTCGTGTATACTATTGCATCAGTCCTTGGGTTGACAAAATGTAAACCCCTAGTCTGCCTTATGAATTAACCAAAATAAAAATCCAATTCCTAGAATTAGCAAGGTTTTGGTAAATGGTAACACTAAGAATTGTGATAGCAGAATCCAAGTTGAATATAAAAATTGTATGATAGAATATTAGCAAGCTGGGTGGTTAAATTTTCATTCACTTGATTCATCCACTACAAATGAAACAAACCACAGCGAAGCAACTAATATATGTGATTCAAATCTATGGATGTATTCAATTTATCAATCTAAGTAGTGTATTAATAGAAAAAATGAAATCAACCATCATTTCAATTCATGATGAAAGCAGTGGAACCAACTCGTCAAAATATGAAACATGATCACTTGTTTTCTTTAAACAAGGCTAATAACATCAAACAAGTCTTCAGAAGGACTAAAAAGATTAAAGACTTAAGAAGCAGAAAACTTTGAACTAGCAAAAATTGAGATGAAAGAGCATGCCTTCAGAACTCCAAACCAATGTTTCAAAAAACAGCCCACCTAGCGCCCATGAGGGTGAAGGGGGCTGGGTGCATAACCCAGGCCTAGGCGCCCCTTTTGGGCGTTGGGTCCCTACGCCCCAGGACTGCACTTGCCCAGAAGCGAAAATGCCCCTTTGATAGGGGCATTTTCATTAATATACCCCCAAATAAGGGGGGAAGGGGTGGGGGGGTTTCAAGTTTTCTATGACCCAAACAAATATTTTTGCCTCTTCTGTGAAAAAAAAAAAAAACATAAAATCATGCAAATTTGTGCTTTTGTTAGATTGAATGGCAAATTCATAGTTTTCAAAAATTGATCGAAACATCTTCCTTATAGTACGGATTCCATTTTATAAATTTTTGAAGCTTATTAGAGGGTTGTTAACAATTTTATGAGATTAGCAAACATCTCAAACATTGAAGATTGAGCATAAATGTCAGTAAACAATCTTCGCATTTGAATTTTATTTTTTCATCTTGAAATGTCTTCTTCATGTTGTAGTAGAAGTGGCGATTATAACCCAAATCCAAAGGATAAAAACTATAAAGGTGTAATTATTGTGAAAGAGTTACCAAAGGGAGTATCAACTGGTTCAAGAAATACCTAGCCAGTATTAAGGGGAATGTTGCCCCTTGTAAGAAGGTTCTTGTCTTCCTAATGTTGTTAGGGAGGAGATTAAAGAGTATATGGATTTAGTTATTAAAAAAAAAAGAACCATGCATAGCAAAATTAAGGACTGGGGTTCGTGTTTTTAATGATGTT